GCTGTTAGCATGTGTAGCTGTTAGCAGCTGTAGCTGTTAGTATCTGTAGCCGTTAGCATGTGTAGCTGTTAGCAGCCACGTGTCGTCGCGTGCTTGGATAATCGTCTCGTGACTGTGTCTCTACTTTTCTGTGTAGGAGCAGGAGCTTCACGTCAGACCTCCACCAACCACATGTTTGTTCTCTAACAGGTATGGTTGTAATTTCTAGTAAAGTTGTTCAATATTAAACTTCGGTCCAGCGGCCTCCACTTCAAAAAGTCAGAGCTCACGCGGTTTGGTTGTGCATGCGCAAACACTATGAATTAGGTAGTCACGCTTGTGAGGTTCTTTCAAAATAAAAGCTGATGTGTGTCTCCTGTTGGTACAAACTCTGGACATAAAACACATGTTAGCACTGGAAGCTGTAGCGTGGGTTTTCTCCGGGTGCTCCGGTTTCCTCCCACAGACCAAAAACATGCATGTTAGGCTGATTGGTGACTCTAAATTGTCCCTAGGTGTGAATGAGAGAGTGAATGGTTGTTACCATACCATACCAATTTATTTATATAGCACTTTAAACAGTGACTAAGCACACCAAAGTGCTGTACAGGGACAAACAGAACAAGCACATAGCAACAGATTACATAACAGGACACCAAAAAGTAGAAACCAACAAAAACAATAATGGATAACAACAACAACCGCAACATGACCAACACAGTGTGATGCACACAGACTCAGCACAGATCACACAGTGCTGAAAGCCAGGGAATAAAAGTGTGTTTTAAAGCGAGATTTAAAAACTGTGAGGGAGGGGGCCTGTCTAACGAGCAGAGGTAACTCATTCCAAAGTCTTGGGCCTGCTACAGAGAAGGCCCTGTCACCTCTGCGCTTGAGACGGGTTCCTGGGACTGTTAGGAGTAACTGGTCTGCTGATCTGAGAGAACGTGGTGGGACATACGGCTGGAGTAGATCAGTAAGATAGGAGGGGGCAGAGCTGTTTAGTGATTTAAAGACATACAAGAGTATTTTGAATTTGATTCGAAGGTGAACCGGAAGCCAGTGTAGGGAGGCCAAAACAGGTGTAATGTGCTCTCTTTTGCTCGTGCTGGTCAAAAACCGGGCTGCTGCGTTTTGGACCAGTTGGAGTCTAGCTATGGAGGTCTGACTGATACCAAAAAGGAGTGAGTTGCAATAGTCGAGCCTGGATGTAATGAATGCATGAATTACTGTCTCCAGGTTATTTTTGGACAATATGGGCTTCAGCTTAGACAGTCGCCTCAGCTGGAAAAAGCAGGATTTAACAATCATATTTACATGATTGTTGAGTTTCAGAGAAGGGTCAAGTATCACTCCTAGATTAGTGACTCTTTGTTTCACTAACGGTGACAAAACGGATAGGTCGATGCAGTGGTTGGTGATTGTGTCATTGGGAGGAAAGAGCATAACTTCAGATTTCTTCTCGTTGAAACTCAAGAAATTTAAAGCCATCCATCTCTGATGTCAGCCAGGCAGTCCAGTAACGGTTGAATAGAGCGAGTACCGTTGAGTATGAGTGGGATGTAGATTTGGCAGTCGTCGGCGTAGAAATGAAAAGGTATGTTATGTTTCCTGAAAATGGCACCTAGTGGCAGCAGGTATAAAGAAAATAAAAGAGGACCAAGGATGGACCCTTGCGGTACCCCCCATTTAAGCGCTGCCGAGGCTGAACTAAAATCTTTGATGGAGACACAAAAGGACCTGTCAGCGAGGTAAGATCTAAACCATTCGAGGGCTGACCCAGTGATGCCCACCCACTGCTCTAACCTCGCAATGAGGATCTCGTGGTCAATTGTATCAAAGGCAGATGTGAGGTCCAGTAAGAGAAGGAGCCAGAATCACCAGCGTCTGTGAATAGGAGAATGTCGTTAAAAACATTGAGTAGAGCAGTTTCAGTGCTGTGGAGAGGTTTAAAGCCAGACTGGAATAGCTCTAAGATGGCATTATCCTCTAGAAAGCATTTCAGCTGGGACTCCACTATTTTTTCCAGCAGTTTAGCGACAAATGGGAGTCTGGAGACAGGCCGGAAGTTGGATATGACTGAGGGGTCAAGGCTAGGTTTTTTTCAGGAGAGGTTGGACAGCAGCATGTTTAAAAGTTATTGGCACCACACCTGAGGCTAAGCTGCTGTTCACAATGCCAAGAACAGGAGGGCCCAGAACAGGAAGAAGCTCCTTAAGGAGTCGAGGGGGGACAACGTCAGAAGGGGAGCCAGATGGCTTCATGCCGCACATGACCTGCTCCAGGGAAGACAGAGAGATGCACTCGAAGTGGTCAAGAACAGCAACACAATGAGATGGGATGGACGGATCATGAGCAGGTGGAGAAATGAGTGCCCGCCGGGCATTAAAACACAGACAGTCAGGAGGTAAAAGTTCCACCAAGGCGCTTGAATCACCCAAAGGCAACCAGGATTCCGTGAGAAAAAGAAAATCTAGTCCCTCGCCTTTAAAAAAGTCATTTAGAATAAAAGTCTTGTTGGCAACAGACTTTGTGTTGATGAGGCACGTCCTGATCTGGTCCGACACAGAACCAGCCATGGTGGGGGAGGTGCGCGCCAACGGTTGCAGATTTTCAAAAACAGCGCCTCCAGGACAGTCCAAGCGCCGGGCCGGTAGACAACACCCATATTTTCCCTGGTCCGGGCACGTAGGAAGCTGGCTGTGGAAACGTTAACCACGCAGAGCTTTGAGTTTTACCGGCCGGCACGTTTTCCCCGGCGTCTGGATCGATATCTCCGAGAAGGCAGGCTTGGGGTCCAGCGTAAACAAGCAGGCACGTCTGCCAGAAGGGGTGGAAGGGGGGGGCGTCCCGAGTCACGATCAAAATGGTCCGAATCAGTGACAGCAGATACAATCGAAGATCGAGGAGCTGTTGTCGGTCATACACAAGCAGCGAGTTGATATCCCAGACAAAAAACAAAAAAAACAGAAATAATCCAAACAGTATCGTCAGAGGTAGATTGCAGGCCATGTACACGGGCGCCATCTTACCGGTTGTTTGTCTCGTTTGTCTCTTTGTGTCCCTGTGATGGACTGGAGACCCGTCCAGGGTGTACCCCGCCCCTCGCACAGTGATTGCTGGACATGGGCACCAGCGACCCCCGTGACCCAAAATGGAATAAGCGGGTAAAGATGATGGATGGATGGATGGATGGAAACTGGTAACTGGAGAAGAAAATAGCTAAATTTATGAGGCTTTAATTTTGAAATTCCATATCAGATCTTGGTGAAAATTGGTCAGTAACATCTGGAGGTGTTCAGCAGTCATCCTGAAGAGAGACTGGTCTCTGGAGACGTAACGGTTTTGTTTTCGTATTATTGGAAACTTCAGGGAAAACAAATTGACTTTCCCACATAATGAACAAACAAATGACCACACAAAACGATGACAAGAGCAAAACTATTATGGATCCATATTCACAGACGGACATTAAAAATGATTTTGTAACATAGCAAGAATGACATCATTCACAGCTTTTATTTTGAAAACATCTCGCAAACGTTACTACCGTAATTCATAGTGTTTGCGTGCACAGCAAAACTGTCATTTTAGAAGTGGAGACTGGCTTAACAGCAGTTTTTTACTGCCTGACATTGTCAGAGTTGGGGCAGGAGCTACATGTCAGACCACCACCAACCACACGTTGTTTTCTGTTACAGATGAAGTTCATGTTAATAAATAGTGTGCAGCTGAGAAGAGTTCCTGGGTGAGCGATTCATCAGTTCACTGATATCGAACCACACATTGGGGTTACATAGGTATGTATTTATTTACTGCAGTCTAAAGTAAAGTGTGGAGCTAAGCCGTGTTAGGAACCGTTTGGATCCTGTGGTTAAGCTGTCCAGGATTCGGACTTGTTGAAGTAAATCTTGCTCTTCTTCACTTGTCGCTTGTTACGACATCAAGTTTTGTTGAAATTCAACTAGAAAATGCATTTCTCTACACCAAAATATCCAGGAATTCAGAAATAGAACCTTTCTGATATAGTACTTTAAATACTGTATTTGTTGACATATCATCAGAACAGTCACTTCAAGACTGTTCACTTATCAAAATGCTCTTCAGGAAAATACTACCAATCCACTGGTTCAATATGTGGACGACATGGCTGGGTATTGTGGCCAATTTCCTAAATCGATTCGATTTCAATTGATACTGTTCTGAATAGATTAATTGCGATTCAATTCGATTTCAATTCAAATATTGAAAATGACCGAACTGTGTTACAAAATACATATGTACTTTATTTTGTCTCTTCATCGTAAACAAAATATAAAAACACAAAGTGCAAATGCAGTCCTTTCTTAAATGTCTCAACATACAAGTGTGTATGTGTTTGACCGTTGCTCAAATCTTTAAAGGAGCCTATGGTTGCAGTGGAGGAAAGTGAGCATGTCGACGTGCTCTGAACTGAGGCTTGCCCTGCGCTTCGATGCAATGTTTCCTGCTGCAGAAAAAAGCCGTTCTGATGGCGTAGATGTTGCTGGGATACACAGAAAGGACTTTGCAAGCTTTGAGTGTTGGATAGTGTGCTGCATTTGATTTCCACCATAGCAGTGGACTCTCCTTCCTGGACAGTGCATGCTCTCCAAAGTACTTCAAGACCTCCTTTTGGACACTTTGGTTCAAATGCTGCTCCTCTTCCTCACTTGTACTGGAGTCAGAAGAACACAGTAGATTGCTGATAAATGAGGTAGTGCTCCTCTGATGCTTTACAGGCTTGCCATGTGCTGAACCGGGGACCTCATTTTCACCTGAATTTTTCTGTGTCATTGTCTTTTTGACATCAAGTGCCATCGTTTGTACCATGCTTTGGATCTGCTTTGTGGCCATTTGCTGCTGCTTATCCTTCAGTTTCGTGCAAGCCACTTCACTTTTTTAAAAATGTTCAACAAGACATCTTGCAGCTGCCACACACTTGAAGATGCTCTGGTTGCTCTTCAGAGCGTTCTGCACCACCAAGTTCAGGGTGTGCCCTGCACACTGCACAGATGCCCACTTATGCTTTTCTGCCAAAATCTTCACTGCTGCTACAATATTGGCACCATTATCATGGACAACAGCTTTGACTTTCTCTGCTGGAATATCAAACTTTGCAATTACATCCTCAAGCCACTCTGCAATATTTGCTGCTATGTGTCTTTCTTCAAGCAGCATTGTTGTCAGGCTGTGGGACTGCATTTTCCAGTCCTCCCCAAGAAAGTGGCAGGTCACCCCAAGATATGCCTCTGTGGCAACACTTGTCCAAATGTCGCTTGTGAGAGCAATGCTGTCAATCTCCTTCAGTGTGTTTTTCAACTTGTCTTTGATTTCTTCATACTTTTTCTCCACCATTTTTATAAAGTAGGATCTGGAGGGAAGGACGTAATTTGGATTCAAGGTTGAGATCATTTTCTGAAAGCCTTCATCTTCCACCACAGACAGCGGCCGCATGTCCGTGATGATCATATTTAAAATGCTGTTGGTGAAGTCTGCTGCTTGCAGAACTGAACATCCTGGTGCCCTTTGCACAAACCTGTCCAATGTGTGACTCTGCAATTTACTGAAAAGAAGTACAATAAAATTATTATTTGTTTGTTCATAGCTATGCCTTAATACATTTTCAAGTGCACTTCATTGGATATTATAAAATTATATAATATTGTTAAGGGGTAATCTACACTTTGATGACCTGCTGCAATCAAAGTAACATTAGTGTCAGTTGTATTTGATTTATGCATTTTAAGTTTTTATTCATGTTTGAGGATGCTTTAATTAAAACCCTCTGTCACTGAATTATTTTTAACCATTAATCTAAATGGATAAAATTAAAATGTTTTTATTTATGTGTGTTTTAAAATCTAAATGCTGTAAAATATTTTTTATGGATTGGAAAACTAAACAGAATCTTTATATATTAGAAATTAAGTAAGTAAGATAATGTAAAAGTTTGTACATTTGAGTTCTGCAGAATTAACTTGTAATTGTAATTGTTAAAAATACTTTGGTATTTTTTTTATTAAGACTATTATTTGTCTTGATTGCTTAGCTATAAACAAATATGACAACAGTAGTAATAAATGTAGATTACTCCCAGTTTTCAAGTCATAAACAGCAGTAACAAGAAAATAATAAATCCTACTACCTTGTGTAAATACATTTACACAAAATATTCACCCTAAATATCTCATTTAAGTCAGGATGGAAGTACAGCAATAAATAAATGTGTCAGTCTGTTGCTGCTTTTATTGTTAACAAACGTGCATCAAGTCCTGCATGTTTTTTTTTTCTTTCTTTCTTTCTCACACAAGCTACCCTGCCAGGTAGATGTAGTGTAACGTTATGTTAGCAAAAATATGCCTCATTTTACATGTATAACATGACAGATTATCATACATTTAGGTTCACGTATTTTGCAAAGAGAGCATAACACACACTTTTTGCCCCGCTCCCCTCAGGAAGGAGGTTGAGGAGCATTAAGTGTAGAACCACTAGACTGAGGAACAGCTTCTACCCTGAGGCTGTTAGACTCATGAATCTCTAACTAGAATAATCACTGTGAAAAACCATATCTTGTTGCTGCTGATCTGTTTCATGTTGCTGCTGATCTGTTTCAATGTTGATGTGTTCATGCGTGCACATCTGCTCACAGACTCATGTTCATGTTTGTGCTGATGTTCAATGTTTTATGTTATGAGTGCTTAGTGTATATTTAGTTGATGTTTTTCTTAGTTCATATCTTAGATGTTATTACTGTTTTTCTTAGACATTTTATTGTTGGATGTAACTGGGACCCTGTGTACATAATTTCGCTCCACCACATGTACCACATGAGGTGCGAATGACAATAAAGAAACTCTGACTCTGATAAATGATACCTGTTCCCAGCTGCGGACGAGTTTGACTCATACAGCGGGTGTTTTCAGATGCTGCAACATCGATGACGTGCTGTTGTGGAATGAGAGTTCGGCTTTGCAGTGGATGTATTGCGCTGTATTATTTTTTCTGTATAATTTAAAATGTTCCCAAACTTTGGATAGTTTCTGTTGTTTTCTGAGCTGTTCTCCGTTTCCCTCCATAGCTGTAAACATGCGCGCGCGACAGGCAAAAGCGAAAGCGCTAGCGTTGTGTAACACAAAAACCATCCAGCTAGAAAAATGAAAGTGAACAGTTTAATGAAGCTTCGAGGCAGATAAATTTGCCTCGAGGATTTTTTGTAATCGAGGTCCTCGAATGATTCGAGGAATCGTTTCAGCCCTAGATGTGACACACTTTACTATTGAAAAATCGATCTCAGGTCCTATAAATCAATATTGCTAAATTTAAATGTAACCAATGTAAAATCAGTTAAATCAATTTTTTTTTACCCAGCCCTGTTGGATGATACTATAGCCAAAATCCAAGCTAAAGAAGTAGAAGCGTTCACCAGGCATGCAGGGTCTGATGGCACTGATAAGCACTTTGGTAACAGTTACTGTTTTAAATGTGCTATACAAATAAATCTGACTTGATGACTCTGGCGCTGTGCCAGATCACTGGTGTACCTGCGGATAAAAATAAATAGAGTTCACCAAGAGATTTAACTGATATTTCTCTGGATCTAACCAAAGAAATGTCAGCTTACTGATGCTCCGCCGGCCTGGGTGCAGATTGAAAAGGCGTGTAGCCGTTACGCGTTGTCCTCTTTGCTCTGTTCTCAGCTTCCCCTGCCCCTCTCTCTAGTGGAGGACAATCCTATAGTCAGAGCCACATTAACTATTTGGAGCCAATTTAGGAAAAAGTTTGGCCTGCAAGGACCCTCAACACAAATTCCTTTAGCCAAAAATTGTAACTTTATGCCTTCAGCCACCGATTTAGTTTTTAAATTGTGGCATGATAAGGGGATAAAGACTGTAAAGGATCTCTATAGTAACAATACCTTTTCATCTTTTGCAGATTTTTCATCTAAATTCCAGTTGCCCAACTCTCATCTGTTTCGGTTCTTTCAGGCAAGGGATTATGTTAAAAAGGTGTTCCCTCACTTTCCCAATCGGCCCCCCGAAACGCTTTTGGATACTCTCCTACAATTAGATCCACAACGGAAAAAAGTTATCTCGTTCTTATATAATTCTATCAACAATGATACTTCAAACTTCGCAGCTCTTGTTAAAACAGCATGGGAGAGGGAGCTGGGTGCTGGGGTGGAGGAGGAACAGTGGGAGGCTGCTAAAAATTTGATTCATAAATCCTCAGTTTGTGCCCGTCATGCCCTGATTCAATGCAAAATATTATATAAAGTGCATTATACAAATGCAAAATTAGCCAGAATTTACCCATCAGTCAGTGACGTGTGCAATAGGTGTGGACAATCGCCAGCTAACCATACTCACATGTTTTGGGCCTGCCCAAAGTTAAGCGGGTTTTGGGGTGACATTTTTAAATTACTTAGTCAAGCATATAATCAGGCAATTCACCCCAATCCATTATCGGCCATGTTTGGCGTTCCGTTGGATCCGGGCCTCTCGCGTTCTCTGAAGCAGGTCCTAGCCTTCTCTACCCTTCTAGCTCGTAGGCTTGTTCTACTAAGGTGGAAACAAAGCGTTCCCCCGTCTCATAACCAATGGGTTAGAGAAGTCCTTTACAACCTGAAGCTGGAAAAACTCAGATTTTCACTCAAGGGTTCCACCAGCAAATTTATGGAGACCTGGAGACCTTTCTTATCCTGGGCGGAGACTATGACTCTGCTCCCTGACACAGAAGAAAGTTAAACTATCTGTAGGCCGTTACACCTACATGTAATTTGTCGATTTTATTATTTATTTTTGTATATAATTAATTTTTTTTTTTTTTTTTTTTTTTTTGTTGTTTGTTTGTTTGTCTGTCACAGAGACTGGATCTCTGTTAGCTGTTTGTCCTGTGCTTAGACCTAGAAATGGGGATGATCGGGGTGGGTTGGGTATTGGGAGAAATTAGCTTGTACTTGTTTGTATCACCTATTTGAAACTGATGTATTCTTTCTGTTTTGCTATCTTGTCCTACTGACTAATGCATGTCAAGCTGTTAAATTCAATAAAAAGAGTTGGAAAAAAAAAAAAAAAGAAATGTCAGCTTACACTCTCAATCACACTAGATAGGCCTACTAACCAGTCAGAAGAAGTGTGGTGCCTGATGTTGGGTCTTGGTAAATGGTAAATGGACTGTACTTATACAGCACCTTTCTATCTTATTTCAAGATACTCAAAGCGCTTTACACTATAATCTGTGCCTTCATTTACCCATTCATACAGCACTCTACTAGATCTCTACAAAGCTAATTGAACAAATCATTCTAAAGAGACTAATCAGTGCTTTTCTTGGCAAAACTTTGATTTAGATCCAGCAGTGGTTCTGTGTGCTGTTGAATGTCACTGTTTCCTGGGCTGCTTTAATGCATGGGCTGACCTGGGCTGAAGTCCAGGTGCCTACAGCATTGGGGGCCCTATTGTTTTGAGGCCACGTGATGAGTTGAAATACATCATTTTATAACTTTTCAGGTTTTCTGTTAATCATTTCAGATGCATGTTTGTGGCCATGCATCTGATCCAAATAAAAAGTGCCCCATGTGAGCTGATCAATCAGAATGTGTGTTGCTAGAATGGAGGCGTGTCCCTCAATGATTAACTGACAGCTGTCGTGTAAGAAGTTCAAGAGCAGTGCTCAAAATAAAATAATATATTTGTCAGAACAAGTTTGAAAAAGAACTGGAGACCATATTGAAGCAGGCTGATTAAAAAAAAAAAAATCTGTCAGAGAAGCTAAACCCACAGAAGGACGTTCACTGACTCTTCCACCACCTGAGGGAGAGGAGGGTGAGGCGTGGCCCCCGTATGTGATGCTACAGTATATTAGCTGGAGATGAGCAAACAGGTAGAGCTGGGGAGAAGGGAGGAGCACAGGAGGAGCAGAGAGACGAGCAGGCTATGAGACAAATCTGATTACTTTTATAACGGTGACCCGGTGATCTGGTTCTTTTTAGAATCTAGGAATAGGATTCCAGGATGTTGTCTTAATACTCAAAGCTGAGAAACCCATTTAAAACCTCCCTATTTTATTAGAGTTGAACCAAGCTTCTTGAATCCATGAACACAATGTGGTGAAATGATTGTCCAGATTTTTACATTTTATGCTTTGCTTTAATGATTTTCAAGGGAACAGCGTTAATGCACAATCCAAAAATGATTACATTTGATTATATCATGGAATCCGTAACAAAGAGTCCGTACATTCATTGAGGGATGTTCTTGTTAATTAATTTTGATATCCAAAAGATTGGAAGTCCAATTAACGTGGTGATTTCCTTGCTTCGATAAGCTGAGACAGGTAGTTAGGAATCTTTAAAGTTCCTATGAGCCGATGTAGGAATGCCTTCCTGTCATCTAGATGGGCCATGCCCGGAGTCCCAGCGTGGGTTAGAACCCCAAAGAACTCTAAAATTCCCTAGTCAACTTACAAGAAATCCCTCCAAACTGTTATTTGTTTTTGTAAAACCTGTTCCACTGTTTGGCCTTCATGAACACAGGACCCAAAATGTTGATAAAATTATTCTTATTCCCTTAATGGATTGGTCGCATCACTATTATTTTGTATAAAATTTGTAAAAGAACGGTAAATCAGAGCTTCCCTTACCATATTTCTCAGTCTCCTTGGTCTGAAGAAATCTTTGGTTAAAGGCAAGTAAAAACCTTTCCCCAAAGCCTTGGAGAAGGCGCGCTCCTCACTCAATAAGCTGTCCTGATTGAAGAAGATTTTGGTTTGGCTTTTAATCTGGGCTGAACAAAAGAATGCTCCTATCTTGACTCAAAAGGAGTCTTTTTCGGATTGTCCAAATCTTCTCCAGCAGCTAAGAGCAGATCCAATACCGTTCTGTGTCCCTCCAACTCCCAGAACTATTTAGCCCAGTTCTGCTCGCATCTCTTCCTTTTATAGCTTTTTTTACTTTGAGGGCAAGTCTAGACATGCCCGATGTGCTAGGCTCGCCCCTACGAGTGAAGCCTTCTGCTGTAAACCTGTGATTGGCTCCTTAAACTGTCATACATACTAACTTCTTGGAATATGCAGTTCTAAGATACATTGTGTAATAAGGGTGTTGTTCTTCTATGGATCACTCTGTTCTTAAGTTTCACCACCCTGTTCTTGCTCAAGGAGGGTTATTACAGTTTAACTTAATGGTCACTCTGTTCATTTCAGCCAACATTACAGTTAATAAGTTTTTTGATCACATATAATCACTCTTCTATTAATATTCATTCAACAATCATTATTATTTGGTTTGTAACACATTTAAACACTTTTTCTCTGTCTGCTGCTTCACTGAGAAAAGCTTGCGGCTCGGTGCCTCTGCTCTCATCCCTTGGAATGCCTCACACAGAGAGAACATCTGGATTTGATCAGTCCTGCTTACATAAGCACACACACATATACACACAGAGGCCTGCAGCTTCTTTCTTCATAGAGGAGGCAAGTCTGTAACCTTTTTAGGGCTTAGCACTGATTTCACATTTAGCTAAAGATCACATCTATTGACAAACTCCTAAAGGTTGACACCGGAAGGGTGATTTAGCTGTTAAGTAACTTTGTTAAATTCAAAAGGATGATATTAAAAAATAACTATCACATGTGGTCCTTTGTTCAGAACAGAATTATTTTAAAAAAATTCTGCCTTTAAAATTGTTCTTTTGTATTAATATGTTGGTATTAATGTATATGCAGACAGAAGATGGTGATTGTGAGGGTAAAATTGTGTGTGTGTTGAAGAAACATTGTCCTTAATGTTCATGTGTTTCAGTGGTTCCTGCCTCTGTTTAGAACAGATTTAAAGAAGAAGCTCCCCAAGACTGAAGGCCTGATGTGGACCAGCAGGACCCAGAGCCTCTTATCATAGAGTGGAAGAAAAGACCCTTGGACCAGTCTGGTGGGAGACCAACTCAATATGGAGGAGACTGATATCAGGTTTTTGGTCACTACAGTTTCTTTAAAGAGTGAGGAGGATAGAAAAAACTTACCAGGCAGGAACCCAGATTTAAAGACTCACAAAGACAATTCCAGCTCTTCAAAGACTGACGTTAATGAGGACGATGAAGAGGATGGTGAAATGACCAATCCTGACTCTCTGCTAAAGAACTCATCAGACTCTGAATCAGAACGTGAAGACAGTATGAAAGACTGGAAGGAGAGCAGGACTCCTGAATCAGAGGTAAAAACTGTCAACAAATCTTTGAGCTGCTCTGAGTGTGATAAGCAGTATGTCAATAACTGGACTCTTCAAAGACACATGACAAGTCATTCAGGAGGGAAGTCTTCAAGCCGTCTGCTTAATAAGAAATGTGTTGGAGAGAAGAAAAATGTAGAGTCACGCAGGAAAGTCCAGGCAAGACCAAAATTAATAAGCTGTGATGACTGTGGCGAAAGATTTACTTTCAAATCAAATTTAATCAGACACATGAAAGTCCACACAGGAGACAAACCTTTTCCTTGTGAACTTTGTGGACAAAGATTTAGTCGGAAGGCACATTTAAACACACACATGAGAGTCCACACAGGAGACAGGCCGTTTCCTTGTAATCTTTGTGGACAAAGTTTTAGTCATAAGACAAACTTAAACTCACACATGAGAGTCCACACAGGAGACAAGCCGTTTTCTTGTGAACTTTGTGGACAAACATTTAGTCAGAAAATAAATTTAAACATTCACATGAGAGTCCACACAGGAGAAAAACCGTTTCCTTGTGAACTTTGTGGACAAAGATTTAGTCATAAGAAAAATTTAAATAGACACGTGAGAGTCCATACAGGAGACAAACCGTTTCCTTGTGAACTTTGTGGACAAAGATTTAGTCAGGAGGAACATTTTAACTCACACATGAGAGTCCATACAGGAGATAAGCCGTTTCCTTGTGATCTTTGTGGACATAGATTTAGGTTGAAGTCAGCTTTAAACTCACACATGAGAGTCCACACAGGAGAGAAACCATTTCCTTGTGAATTTTGTGGCCAAAGATTTAGTCATAAGATAAGTTTAAACAATCACATGATAGTTCACACAGGAAACAAGCCGTTTCCTTGTGAACTTTGTGGACAAAGATTTAGTCTGAAGACGATTTTAAATATACACATGAGAGTCCACACAGGAGAGAAACCGTTTCCTTGTGAACTTTGTGGACAAAG